TAAAAAGCAAAGACAAAATAACCTACCGGAAGAAAAAAATTAATAAAGAAAAAAAATCTAAATCAATTGAGTTAAACTATCAAACACGGAATTCATGTAATGAAAGTATGATAATTAAATAGAAAAAAAATTAATATTAAAAAGTTATAGAAAAAAATAAACTATAAACATAAGTTTTTTCAGTGTAGACTGCACTGTGCAATTCATAGTAAAATGTTTAAAAAGAAAAAGAAAAAGAAAAGGAAAAAGAAAGACATATACCACGGTTTAATTTTTTTTTTTGCATAAAAAATATATAAAAAAATTAAGATATAAGAGTGTTAGGTCTTTTTGCAAATATATACTCAAAAGTCTTGGGTTTAGTTGCAACGCTTGACCCAAAAATAATATTTATAATATTAAACTTTATTAACTTAAGTTTAAGTGAGTATGACTGCAATATCGAACTTAAGAGCATTAGATGTGGGTCTGACTATAAAATTGTATCATAAAAGTATGAGAAATAAATTGATTAATTATATAAAAAAAACCAATAGAAACAAAAACTAATGAAGAAAAAGAAAAAAAATCTGAATTAATTGGGTTAATCCTTCAAATCAGATTATTCTATCAAACCTGAGATTTGTGTTATGAAAATTTGATAACTAAATAAAAAAATTAACAAGTTTATCCAGAATTAACTGGATTAACCCGTGAAGTCTGAAATACGTGTCACTAAACTAAACAAAAAAATAAATTAAAAAAGTAAAAAAATATAATAATTAAATAAAAAATTAATATTAATAAACCAACTTAAATAAAAAATTCATTAAAATAAAAAAAAACAAAAAAAAACAGCTCACTTTTTCATTTATTTTTAGTATATATTATAATATAATAATAATAATAATAGTATAACATATTAAAAATGAGAAAAGTTAAAAGGTGTGGGGCAGCTACAGAAGTTTCCCCACACCTTTTACTTTTTAGGATATGTTATAATATAATATAATAATATAATATATTAAAAACGAGGAAAGTTGAAAAGTGTGGGAATATAACATACTAAAAATGAGGAAAGTTAAAAAACCGGGGAAATCACACTACTTTTTTCATGTCTTTTAAAATATTATTAATAAAGTATTTTTTTCACATCTATTAGAGTATTATTAATAAAGTTTTTTGTGATGATAATTATAACATGGTGATCGACGAGAGACAAAAAGTTATCTAAACTTGCTTTTTTAGTAAAAAAAGTATTTTTTAAAATTTAAATTTTTTATATTAAATTAAATTTTTAATATTTATGCATTACTTTAATATGTTTATATTAAAAATGAAAATTTAAAATTTAAAATATTATTGTAGTGTATTTTTTAATATTTTTGACATCACCTAAAAACATAAATAATAATTAATTTGAAATAAAAAATTAGTTTTTTTTTAAAAGACTTTTAAAACTAAAAAACAAACGTTATTGGAAGAGAGTCGAGAAGGCTATTCGCTCGATGTTACCTGCAGTAGTACGTGACACCCAAACTGGTAAGATTTGTTTCCCTTCATTTCTAAGGAGACGACAACCTTCGAATAAACTAGACCAGCAGTGGTTGTCCAAGCTGGAAACCAATTATTTTGTCTAGAAACAACGTCCTAGTCTATGTATCATCAGGCAACTCCCTGCAAGTTAACTATCGCTATTGGGGCTGTTCACTTAGATAAAAAATATTGTTTTGGTCATCGTCGTATTTTAAGTATCCTTTCTGATTTTTTTAAGGGAAAAATATCAAAAAAAAGTACATCGCCTTTCAGCTTCGATCACTCTTGCCAATATTCTAATTACCAAAACAAGTGTACATAAAGACCAAATTAAGAATAGTTGAAAGCAAAGTAAAAAAGGGTTATGGTAAAAGAAAGAAAGCGAAGAACATGAAGGGGGGGCAGGTGTAGACAATGAACATGCCGAGGGTTGACTGAGAGTTGGGAGAGCACGATACTTCAACAACCCCCTTGATGTCTTTGATTGTAGGGTCAACAGTTTCTTAGTACAATTCAGAAACTACAATGTTTGTCTGTCTTATACATGTGACACAGTATTAAAAAAAAAAAAAATTAAGATCACTCGAAAGTCCACTAGCGGGGGTGGTTGAGAGAGGTGATGCTGTCAAAGGAGCATCTCGAGAGAGAGAACAAGAACAGAACGTTAGGTCTCGTGCTTGAACTCTCCAGTCAAACCAATCTTGCGTCCGAGGCCACCCTCCTTCCGCTGCTAATGAATCTGGTATGGCCTCTCATCACGTGATTATCCCACCCGAATAAATTAATATCCAAAATATCAAAATTTAGCATCTAAACATTTATGTCGCATTAATTAGCGTCTACTCATTGCTCCCTCTGAAAGCCTGACGCACCGAAATAACGAGGAAAGTTTACGCATCCACAGTCAAGTAACACAATGAGTGCTTGATTTGAATAATCGAAACGGAACAGAATTGCATGTCCTTCTTGTTCACCGTTCTTCGAAACGGAGCGGAATTGCATCTCCTTCTTGTTCACCGTTCTTCGGAATTAAGTGAGAATCATTATCGAAGCAGTTTAAAATAATTAAATAATGTTTTTAATTATTTTTAGAAATATATTTCGGCTGCTTCTTATTTAAAATACTTTTTAATCGAAACTAAGTTTACAAGGTGTGTTAATGTCACTTTAAAAATTTGATTTCTTACAACCAGCTATTGTAATTTTCTTATAGTTTCATCCCCCCCACAGTCCATTTCTACTGGGAAATATCTCAATATCATAAGAAAGTTATTAAAAAATAAAAAAATTAAAAACAATAAAAATAAAATCAATAAATCTTTTTTAATCAAATAAAGATGATAAATTTTTTAGCGATCTACCAATATATTTACTCATTGAACCATGTATTTCTATATTTTGGTTACGTGACACTATATAATGGTCACCTTTTATATTCCTTTTATTTTATAAAATCTTATTTTTTTTTTCAATTATCTCTTCTCTTGTGTTTGCTTATTGAACCATAATTGTTTTCCTTAAATTCCCAGATCCTTTCATTTTTTTTTTTGTTTATATTTAGTTGTACACAATCAAATTTCACAATTTAGACCCCAAATTTCCCTCTAATTATATCAATTTAATCCACCTATTTCCAACCCACACCATAACATGTAACACAAATTAACAACCTTTCCTCATTTTCCATTTTTTTGAATTTCTCATCTTTAACAACCAATAATTAATTAGGTTTCACAGTACATTAATTTCAACATGTGAATCAACCTAATTGTAGTCAATTAAACGTTTCAACGACAATAATTTTTTTTTTGTTTTTTCAACGACAATAATTAATTAGGTTTCACATTGTAATACCTTTTTGAAATTTCTGTATGCTTGGTGGAAGACTGTATAGTTGACGAGCGACGGATGTGTTGTCCTAGCATGATTTTAAGACAAAATTTAAAAACGAACCTCATTTAAGCTATCATCAAAAGATGAAATAGCAAGAGTTCGATCTTGACACTGAAAGAAGAAGGAATATGAGTGATAGAGTATGAGAGGTATTTTCATTGCCTTTCCATGTTTGTTCCTCATTATATACCCACTAGGAAGCATATGGATGAAAGGTTGCGAGATGGGTTCATACCAAATTTAAAGCAAAAATTGATTGCTTTGTAATTCAGGACTATGAGAGAGTTGATTGAATCAACTCAAGCCTTGAAGGTGCGAATTGTGAGATAATTATGATTTAAGGGTTCCAAAACTTGGACCCCAATTATTTGGTCATCTGAGGTGAAATGAATTTGTTGTAATGGAGGATGTATTGTCAATTCTATCAAACAAAGTTTTAGATGACGATGTATGGCCCCCTGTTTTTGTAAAAGAGAAAAAATCAGGTGTACTTGAGCTTTTTTTATTCAAGGCCACATGTGCTAGTCAGTTCTTCGATGTGTGTTTGATCTTATTTTAAATAGCCCTTTATTTATCTTTATTTTAGAATAAAATTCTTTTTGAATAAAATCATTAAAATTATTTTAAAACAACTATCCAATCAAGCCATTGTTTTCAAATAGAATTGGAGCTTTTAATGGTAATATTAGTTATTGCTTTAGATATAATTTTATATACGAACCGAATATGTAGATTGTTTTAAGAATTTCTCAGGAATATTTGATAATAATAATAATAAATTATCTATTTATTATTGTTAGTTTTTATATAATTTTTTCAATTAATTATTCTCATATATTTTTTCATAGAAAATCATGGAGTCATGATTTTGTTTACTTATTGAAACTTTCTTTATAAATCATGGTATGTTTTTATTGAAATAACAATACTTCCTATATAAAAAAGATTTTATTTCAAAAAAAAGAAATACAAAATATACAAAGAGAGTTTTAATTAAAAAGATACATTTTTTTCTTGAATATAAATTATCGGAATTCTTTATTATGAATATTTATTTTATTTTAATTTAGTTTTTATGAAAAAAAACCACATTGTTAATATATATATATATATATATATATATATATGTCCATCTTCCAAATCAATGAAACTAATTGAAACAAGCCAATACATTTGAGAAGAAATCGAAACATTCCATTAACAATTATCTATATATATTCATCTTGCAAATCTAATAGATTAAGATTTTCGAACTCGGAACTTTAACGGGGAAAAAAAAAAAGATTTTAATTTCCTACACGAAGTAAAATCACACACACAAAAAAATCATCTGAAAGTCCATTAGCACGTGAGGAACTGGGAGAGTTAACGGCGTTAAACATTACGGCAAATTATTGAAGTAAACAAGAAGAGGACCGGTAGGAGTACTCAATAGGCATCATCGCCTCACCCCCCGTGTTTAACCCTCCAGTCAACCATTCTTGCATGCTAAATTCACCTTTCTGATCGCACGAGTCTGGTAAAATGTTTCATCACGTGACTAACCGTATGTCTCTATGAACACCATCCATGAACTTATAAAATTGTGCCGAGTGCCTGCTGAAACCTCGCAGCATCCTTTTAAAAGATTTTGTATTCGTTGTGTGCTTTGTAAGCAAAATTCAAGTTGCCTAAAACATCATTAGTACTATTGCTGCCATGGTGACTCCATCAGTGCTAGTTCCTCGAGTTGAGAGTTTGGCAAGCAGTGGGATTAAATCAATCCCAAAAGAATATATTCGGCCCCAAGAGGAGTTAAATAACATCGGCAATGTTTTCGAAGAAGTGCAGAAAAATGAAGGGCCTCAAGTTCCAACCATTGATTTGATGGAAATTGAATCTGAGGACAAAGCGGTCCGGGAGAAATGCCGGGAAGAAATAGTCAAGGCAGCTAAAGAGTGGGGTGTTATGCACCTTGTTAACCATGGGATTCCTGATGATTTAATCGATCGTGTCAAGAAAGCTGGCCAGGTTTTCTTTGATCTTCCAATTGAGGAAAAAGAGAAGTATGCTAATGATCAGGCTTCAGGAAATGTTCAAGGGTATGGAAGCAAGCTAGCTAACAATGCCAGTGGGCAGCTTGAGTGGGAGGACTATTTTTTCCATCTCATTTTCCCTGAGGACAAGCGTGACATCTCCATATGGCCTAGGACACCTAGTGATTATACGTAAGCTTTCTTTCTTTTTTGAGAACTTTTCCTTTTTAGTTAATCCTACGTTGCTCAGACTCCAGATCCATATCCTACGTGGGTTCATGTCCGAAACTTGTAGTCTCGTACCCATGTGTCGGACTTGGCTATTCTTTCTATATTTTATTAAGATATGTCATACAAGGCAAATTGAAGGATGGAAGAAACACAGTCTGTGATAGCCAAGTCAAATTCTTGCAGTTTATTCAATTTCATCTCGAACTTACAATATAAACCATAAAATTTACAACTTTGCAGTGAAGTCACTAGTGAATATGCAAGGCTGCTGAGAAGTTTAGCGAGCAAAATTCTGTCAGCGCTATCACTTGGCCTGGGATTGGAAGAAGGAAGGCTAGAAAAGGAGGTTGGTGGCATGGAAGAGTTACTACTCCAAATGAAGATCAACTACTACCCCAGGTGCCCTCAACCAGAACTAGCTCTAGGGGTTGAAGCTCACACGGATATAAGTGCACTCACTTTTATACTCCACAACATGGTGCCTGGCCTTCAACTCTTCTATGAAGGCAAGTGGGTAACAGCAAAATGCGTCCCCAACTCAATCATCATGCACATTGGCGACACTGTTGAGATCTTGAGCAATGGGAAATACAAGAGTATTCTTCACAGGGGACTTGTTAACAAGGAGAAGGTAAGGATTTCATGGGCAGTTTTTTGCGAGCCGCCGAAGGAGAAAATCATCCTCAAGCCACTGACAGAAGTTGTGACTGAGGCTGAGCCTCCATTGTTCCCTCCTCGCACCTTTGCACAGCATCTTGCGCATAAGCTTTTCAGGAAGACCCAAGATTCTCTCACCCCCCCAAAGTCTGATTAATGGAAGCACATCCCTGCTCTTCAAGCTATTGTGCATGCTGCCCTGGTTCCTATGAGACTATCAAGAAACAAACTACAAGAAGAAGAAAGACGGTTCATAATGACCACGCCTGTGGTGCCTTACGTTATTTCGAGTTCGTATGGTGATTTGTTTTCTATTAAAGTATGTAGCAGGTTTAAGACCGTGGATATGTGTCTGTCCTCTTTTTTCAATTGGTTGCTATATTAATTATGTACCTGCTTTAATTTGATTGAATAATGTAGACCGACTTTTCTTCTTCTTGCAAGGTCAACTGTTGCTGGAATATATAAATCTTAAATATAAGGTCTGTCTGTAGAAGCATGTAGTTAGCATTACGTTGACTGACGAGTACGGCATCTTTGAGTTTTCTAGTTACGCGAGAAATACGAACTTTGTTTCCTTGCAAAAGGGAACTACTCCTCTTCATAGGGGTGGTTGTGGATAGAGTCGGTGGGATTTTTACTATCCAATCCAATTCTTAATATTTTATAAAATATAAACATCATCTATTTAGTTTTATTTTAGGCCGGTGGAGGTTAGATATATTATGTTGGATTAAATTTTTTATGACTGCTACAAATATTTTCAGGTTAGCTATGTTAATTTTTATTTTTATTTTTTAATAATTCTAAAAAAATATTCGATTGCAATTATTAAAACAAGGTAGAAATAATATAAAAACTATCATAATTTACATATAAAATACAAAATAAAAATCCAAATGAACCCCTAATACAGTTCTTAATTCTTACACACACTATTATTTATAATATTTACATTATAAATTAAGTTGATAATCTTATTTCATCCTGTTGGTTTTTATATTTCAAAAATATTTTTTAAAAATTTTTATTTTATTTTTTATTTTAAATTAATATTTTATTTTATTTTTAAATTATTTTAATGCATTGATATTAAAAATAATTTTTTAAAAATAAAAATATTATTTTAATATTTTTTAAATAAAAAAACCATAACTATCCTACTAAACATCCCTGTAATTTCTAATCATAGAGAGGTTGTCAAAAAAATGAAAAGTTTTTTACAAAAAAAATTCATTTTTAAATTTATTTTCACTTAAAATTTGTTATAGTGTCAACAAACTAATAAATAAACTCAAAACATTTCTAAATTCAATCAAACTAAAAATAAAATCCCCTCTTAAATTTGGTTTTTTCCCTTTTTATCATTTTTTAATTCCACGTACCATTTTCTTATCATCGGATGTATATATTTTCAAAACATGATGCCGAATGTAACAGAGTTGGGTTAGATGAACAAAAGAGAAGATTAAAAAAAAAAAAAACTGTAGTGCTAAGATAGAATCCATAAAAAAAGTTATACAGGGGTAATCCATAAAAAGAAAAAATAATAATCAGAAGTTAAGATAAAACCAACGACTAACCTCATTACTGCCATTTACAAGAACGGCATTAAGATTTAAGAACATAGATACTTCCAGGGGTTTTGTATGATTCAAGATCATTACAAACACGATGAATAGTTCAGTTTTATCTTAATAGATGTCAGTATGCGAAACAATTACAAGACATAACTGCATATCCTACCTATCATTCAATCTGATAGACTGATTGCAAAGGTTTATTAGAAAAGAATGCCTTCAAGTTTGTGAAAATTAGCTGATATACTGCTTCAAATGATTCTGGGGTAGAAATAGCTCTGTGTGGAGACAACACCACGTTGTCCAGTTCAAATAGCTCTCTAGGCACATCAGGCTCATTCTCAAACACATCAAGACCTGCACCACCAATATCTCCTCTCAACAAAAACTGCACTAATTCTTTTTCATCAATAAGACCACCACGTCCAACGTTAATGATCACCCCTTTCTTTCCCAATGCTGTCATCACATCCTTGTTAATTATATGGCGAGTTTGTTCTGTCAGTGAACAACAAAGAACGAGAGCATCACTGTGTGCTGCAAGGTCGAGGACATTAGCATAGTAAGGAAATGGAACAGATGGCTTCTCCATTCGCGAATTGTAAGCAATGCTACAGCCAAACGCCTCCAGTCTTTTTGATACTTTAAATCCAATACTTCCAAGTCCAACTATCCCAACTCGTTTTCCTCTCAACTGCAATTACATTACATTTTATGTTACTTAAGAACCAATTTGCTACCAATGTGCTCTATCAACATCCAAAAGTCATGCAGCAAAGAAAATGAAGCAACGCTGAACATGTATCTGTGTATACACAAATCAACAAAGGTAGTGATACCTTCCTGCATAACAATATTATAAGCTAAACCCTGTATCTTTTTCTTTGTTTTTTTTATAAGGCAAAGAAAATTCATTAAACACCTTGGAAGCAAAAGACAAGCAAACAAGGAGAAAGAAAGTTTACAGTAGACAAGGGAGAAAAGGAGAGGAATTCGGAAGCAGACAAGGAACCTAGAAGAAAATAACTCAGACTAACAACAGGAGACAAAACAAACCACCATCACAAAGCACAACTGCGGAGACCAAACAAAGCTAACAAAGAGACCAAAATAACAAGAAGAAGGGCAGAAGGTACCAGCAGCCTAAAGCAGAGTATGCACAAAACAAAAGCATGACAATGGAGGGCAGACCAAGAGAGAAAGTCAAACAACCAAAATGGTCAAGAGAAATCCAGCAAAAATACAGGCAACAAAACAATAAAGAAGCCTCCTGCAACTTTTAGAACTCATCAATCCTCAACATTGGGACGCAGCTGAGCTTCAGAATCCTCTTTAGTCTCTTTCTCAATTCAGCCTATAAGAAAGTCAATTATAGCATCATCCCCATTGTTTGGTCCAGACCTGGAGGTCCTGGACCACAACCTGAGAAAGGCAACCAACCTTCCAAGAGAGTCCAGCTTCATCTCTGAGAGCATTTGGAACAATTTTTGGACCAAGAGTTTGAACAGGATCTATAGGGTTCAATTCAGCTTCAGAAATAACATCTCTATTTATCGGTTTCTTGATCTTCCTTCTTTTCCAACCTTATTAGTGATGAGATTAACCCTTTGAGAAATATACCTACAAATCTTCCTAGCCTTAGCTCTATTTTTCCCGTTGTTTTCACCTAAGAATGAAATCTGAGAGAATCTTATCAACTTCATGGCCAGAGCTAAGAGATTTACCATTACTATGAATGGAACACCTTGAGTTCTCCATAAGGGAGTTGGATGATGACGGTTAGCACACTCCACTCGGTCTGTCCTTAGCATGTGGGGAAGATATTGATAAAGAAGCTTCATGCAGCTCAGCATGAAGAGATGGATGAGATGCCACTTCAATAGATCCTTGAAAATCATTCCCGTGAGCTGCTATATCATTGTCAACCCCCCCAAGTTCGGGCAACCAGACTACCAAAATTGTCACAAGTGCTCTGCTTGTGAAGATAAGGATTTACTATCGAAAACTTTGTTTTTGGAAAACCAATTGACAAGCATCTTATCATAAGGCTCTTCCCTAAAGCTTACTTCATGGACCTCTCCATTAACATCATCGTTATAGCTTGCTCAACGAAATCATGATCACATGAACTGATGATAACTCTACCACATCAAGTCTCTGCTTCTTCAATGTATACTCATCAAGGCTTATAAATCTTTAAAACAAGTTGGCTAAGGTAGAGAAGAACTTCGCATTTCACACATGGAGGGGGTGTACCTTGACATCTTGGTCAAACAAAGCATTCACCACTTTTGGCACATGAATCCTAAGGCTCAACACTATAAAAACATGCGGTGAATAAATACTAATTCTCGATCACACAAAACATTTCTTCGCTTGAAGGTAAAGACAATAGCATCATATTGCCACCTAATAGGGTTAGCTTAAATGAGCTGTAACCTCTGATCATGAGCTGATGGGATGATTTAGGGGTGAGCATAACCAAAAGCCTCTACTCCTTTGCCATTTAATGCCATTGTCGTCCACATCAAACACTAAACTCGGTTCCAAAGAGATCAATCTGATTTCCTAAGACACTGTTGTTAATGCAATCTTCAAAGCTTTTGTATAGTCTTAACCCTTTATGACATGAGCACCTATTTTTTTAATTTAATAGCATAATTATTTTTATTAAATATTTATTTAATTGTTAAGATTTACAAAGATTTGTTTAGTTTTAATGTTAGTTGGATTTCATTATCCATGTAATTTTTAACATGGAATCTTTTTCCAATAAGGATTTTAGGTCTAAAACTAATATAAATAGGGATAATAGCTTATTTTTCATTAAAGATTATTGAATTACGAACTTTGTAGAAAATATCAGAGTTTTCTCTCTATTTTTCTACAGTTTTAGATGTAATCTTAGGGCTTAAGGACTCTACTTTTTATTTATATTTACATTGCGTCAATTAATATCAGAGTAGGTTGCTCTCTTTAACAGATATAGACAGTAGCAACAACCTACCCCACAATGCAGGAGTGAAAGCCATCTGGAGCATTGTGGAAGCTAGATCATTTGGAGCAAACAATAACAACAATGTCAAATAGCTTAGAACATCTAGTTTGACCAATGGGAGGCACAAATAAAAATTGTGCGGAGAAGATGAATGTGCTTTGAGACTTGCCTCGGCGCAAGCCTAACCCCATACTTATTTCTGAAGATGCACCTAGACAATATTATCTATATGGAGGGAGGGTGTTGGTGAAGATGAATTTTATGAGGGGTCATAAATATTTAGCAAGTCAAGACATACCACCACAACCCGAGAGATAACAAGCAAACAAATTTTGGATAAAAGTAAAACTAACTCCCTTTAATTGAGATATGGATATAAAAGAGTTTCTTGATTGGATCACACAATTTGACAAGGTAATGGAATACGTGGGTATCAAAGAAAAGAAGATGGTGAAACTAGTAGCCTATAACCTAAAGGGCGTAGCTTCTTCCTAGTGAAAACATCAGACAAGTACACAATAAAAAAAAGGTGACAACCTATTACATTATGGATGTATATGAGAAAAAGATGAATGAAAGGTTCTTCAATCATGATTACAAGAAATATTAGTTTCAAAGATATCAAGATTGTTCGTAAGAGAATAAATATGTCAATGAATATACTATTAAATTTCAAAGGCTAACAAAACATAATCGACTTCAAGAGATGATGAATTGGTATATGGTGAGATTTCTTAGGGTGCTAAAGCCAACAATCCAAGATAATATTAGAGTACATATGTTGTTTGCACTTGCTGAGGCAGGAAATATAGCTTTAAAGGCTAAGATGTTAATGAAGAAGATGGCTGGTAGCAATAGCAAATTT